CGGGGCCCACACGCGGGGCCCCGCTTTCCTGCTGGGCGGAGGGCCCGGGCGTAGCCCCTGGAGCGGCCCCTCTGGGCCGAGCAGCCGCGGCTGTGGGCCTCTCGCAGGACTGGTCAGCCCTGGGCGGTGTGGGCAGTGGCCTGGTGGCCAGGCGTGACCTGCCTCACGGCTTCTCGCAGCTCCCTGGGGTGGAGGCCTGCGAGCACTACACCTTCCGCTACGGCCGGAACCCCCTCATGGAGCTTCCCCTCGCCGTCAACCCCACCGGCTGCGCCCGCTCCGAGCCCAAGATGAGCGCGCACGTCAAGAGGTTTGTGTTAAGGTATTTTGTCTTCACTTCACGTAGCGCAGCCCGGTCTCAGGCGCGTGGCTTCGTGCTTGCCGTCTGCCGCTCACACACCCGCTGCTCGGCTGGTGGGCGCCTGGGGCGCGGGGCCTGCCTGGCCGTCGGGGGAGCTTCAGTCGCCCTCTGTCCCACGCGGTCCGCAGGCCCCACACCCTGAACAGCACCAGCACCTCCAAGTCCTTCCAGAGCACGGTCACCGGGGAGCTGAACGCGCCCTACAGCAAGCAGTTCGTGCACTCCAAGTCCTCGCAGTACCGCAAGATGAAGACCGAGTGGAAGTCCAACGTGTACCTGGCGCGATCGCGCATCCAGGTGAGGGGCCGCGGGCCGGGGGCCAGGCCCCGGCTGCGGCCGGTCTGCGGCCGTCCCCAGGTCTCGGGCACAACAGCCCGGCCCTTCCCGCGTCCGCAGGCTCGGACACCCTCCTCCGCCCGGGCCCCGGTGCAGGCCTGCCCCTGCTGGGGGCAGTGGTGTGTTCTGCCCACCGCCCACCCACACTGACCCGGCGGGCTCGGCGTCACCCTGACGCCTCAGGCGCCCTCCGGCGGGGGCCACAGAGCCGCCGGGTCCTGCCGGAGCCCCAGCGCGCCCCCGGCGACGCGACAGGCTCCGAGTCGCTGCCCACGGCGGCGCACTGCCTTTTCTGCCCCTTCCAAGGAGACCCTGCACACCCTGCACCTCCCCGCGCTGGGCGCTGACTGCAGGCAGCCCCTGGCAGGGAGGCCCCCGCGCCTGGCTTCCCCATCCTTTGTCCCGAGCCCCCCAGTTCCTGGGGCGAAGGCCTGCTCAGGCCCACGCACCCCATTCAGTCGCTTGATCTCACGCCGCACGCCCGGTTCCGGGGGCTTCCCCGAGGGGCCCGGTGGCTCATCCCGACCCTGAGCTGAGGCCTCTGGAGCAGGTGCCCACATGCTGTCGTCAGGGTCCCCCGCGGGCGGCTGGTCTCCCAGCTCCGGGCTCCCCGCTCCCCGGCGGCACGTCCAGGACGCTCTCCGACGGCGCGCGGGCGGGTCGTGAGTCCCGGAGCCACCGTGAGGCTCCGCTGGGCTCAGCCCATCATAGGGCTTCCTGTCGGGCGGCCCCAGGGGCGCCTCCCAGCACAGCCGCGTCCCCGCCGGTGTGGTCTGTGTGGCGGCCCGTGTCCTCCTGTGCGGTGGACGGCACCCGGGTCCAGCAGTGTCCGGCTGAGTGGGCCGGGCTGGGGGCGCCCCTTCTGTGTGCGCCTGCCTCCCCGGCGCGTCCCCGCGCACTGGCCGCCAGGCCGCCGCGGCTGGCCTTTGTGCGGTCCCTCCGCCAGCTGGTTCACGGGCTCGGGGCCGGAGCCCTGGGCGTGGTGCCCGGGAGCCGTGCGCACCTTACCCGTGGCACTGCCTGCTGGGCCCTCGAGGTGGGAGAGGGGCTGGGCGGCGGTGCCGCGGCCAGCGTGGCTGAGGAGGTGCGTGCTGGGTGCTCTGCAGTGCCCAGCTCACGGGCGCTTTCCTCGTTGCCTCCGGGTGCCCGCTCCCAGGAGCTGAGCCGCACCAGAGGCCTGGCAGCGTGGGCAGTGCAGACGGGTGGGGACCCTCTGCTCTGGCTGCCTGCCGCAAGGCCGTCGGCTAGGCCTGAGCTCTGAGGCCCTGCAGGGGCGGCCGCCGGAAGAGCCGGGCCCTTCACCCCAGGGACCACCGGGGCGCCGTGCTGGGCCCCAGCCTCTGCGTCTCCGCACAGCGACGTCGGAGCCCGGAGCCCGGTGCGCGTCCAGGTCCGCCTTCAGCGTGCCGGGACCCGGCCTGTGGGGGCGGGCAGCCTCGTGACGCTCCACACGGCGCAGGGTCTGCTGGGTGCTGGAGCCCCGCAGGGCAGGGTCGGCCGGCGCCCCCGCCTGCCCGGCCCTCTCACAGACCGCGCCTGACTCACGCGGGGCCCTCCCACTGGCCGTGACCGAGGCCCTCCCTGAAATAACGGCTAAAGTAGAGCCCACCCTGCCGGCCCCTGGCGCGTCCCGTCCCGCACGGGGCCCGGGGCCGGGGGCCGCACTCAGGCGGTGCCGTTGCAGGGCCTGGGCCTGTACGCGGCCAGAGACATCGAGAAGCACACCATGGTCATCGAGTACATCGGGACCGTCATCCGCAACGAGGTCGCCGACAGGAAGGAGAAGCTGTACGAGTCCCAGGTGCGTGCGGTGCGCCCTGGGCGCGGCCCTGGCCCCGGCCCCGCCCCCACCTGGCC